CAATTTTATGTTCTGCCCAAGAATCAGTGTATCGTTTATATTCAGATGGAAATCAAGCTGATGAGCTACAGATTGCGTCGTTTCTTGCTCTTTTTGTATCAGATCACTTTGGGGGAACCGATAGGGGTGCCCTTGTTGAATGGGCACGTAAAGCTAATCCTCTTTCAGACTACAGGAAGCCCTTTGTTTGCACTTGCCCAACAGGAAACATGGACTCTATTAGTTTGTCTTCTAAACCAATTGCGAAGACTGTTGAAGATATTGGGTTTTCTGATCTTTGTGAGAAATCTCTCCGTTCTCTTAAAGCACGACGAAAGTCCATTATAATTCCCATTGGAACCTTGCAGTTTGGTGTGTGTAGGCATAGAGCATTGCTATTCAAGGTGATTCTTGTGCTAAATTTATTATTTAATATCTGTTTGTACTGATGTCTGTTATTTGCATTGTCTTTTAATTTGTTGTAATCTGATGAAGCTTAATTTTTGTAGTATCTATGTGATCGATTGAAGCCTCGAGTACGTTGTGAGCTTGTTAGGGGTTACTTGGATTTCATGCCACATGCGTGGAATATTATATTAATCAAAAGAGGGTCCTCAGAGATTCGGATGGTAGTTGATGCGTGTCGTCCGCTTGATATAAGAGAGGAGACAAATCCTGAATATTATTGCAGGTCAGTATCTCTTGTATCTATGAACCGGTCTTGGTAAATCTCTTCATTGTTGAAGATGCTCTGCATCTGGTGAAATTCTTACTCATGTTAAGGGTCACTGTATTGCAATGCCGAACTGATTTTGGATTGGGTTATCATGAAACTCTTGGTAACCCTGTAGACTAATGGGTGTGTTGTGCATGACACAACCCCCCCCCCAAAAAAAAAAAAAAAAAAAAAAAATGTTCCATGATTTGTAATTTCACTTCTGGTTTGATTATCAACTTGTCTATGCTCAGAATCTAGCTCCTTCTGAGTGGAGAACCTTGTATTGCTATGTTGCATTTCAACTCTACTGCTTCCAATTCTGAAATTTTTTTCTTCATTCAGACTGTATCTTGTGCTATTTTTTCTTTTTTTCAAGGACCCTCCCTACTTCAAATTCCTTTTGGGTCTTGTTTTTTGTTGTGGTTTTTGAACTGTTGTACACATATTGTCTGCTTGGCTGGTAAACCCATGGTGCAGTTTTTGAAAACAAATTTTTATGTTTACCAAAAACAAGGCATAGCATGTTTATGTCTTAAAGGATATTTGTTACTGAGGTTTTGTGTATTTATCTATATTTTTTGTGGCAGGTATATTCCTCTCAGTAGGACCAAAGTTTCTCCTCCAATTGGTCCTACTTCCTACCCTTCTGTGTCCTCTTGTGGTGAAACTCCCAAAAAATCTGTTACTTCGCTCATCCGGCTCAAATATGGATCAAATGAGGCAGCAGGAAAGGTGTGTATGCTGTTTAATTAGTTGTGACAAGCTCAAAAAAATTGGAGCAATTTTGTGGCCTTATGTAGTTGGTGGTTATGCGGGAAGTTATTTGATAGAGCGTCTAATAATTCCTAGGCTTGTTTGTAGTCATGATAATGATTCTATCTCTGGCTCTCTCTTTTTTTAACTTGTACAGTTATGTTGTGAGTCATTGTTGAAAGTTTTACGTTAACTAACTCTTCTTCTAAGCTTTTAGTTTGGTGGTGGTTGTAGTTTCTGGTTAGGTTGTCTTAATATGCCTGGTTAGGTTTGGTTTGTTTTTTGTTTTTTTTATTTTTTTCCAGTCCAATGTTTCTTTGTCCATTGAATATTAACCATTTGGTTCTGCTGATGGATGTTGCAGATGCGTACTTTAGAGGTATGTGGGGCTTTAACGGATGAAATTAGGAACTTTGACTACAGTTGCTTAGGAGAAATAAGAATTTTAGGTGCTCTGAAACACCCATGCATAGTAGAAATGTATGGACATCAGATATCATCCAAGTGGGCTCCTTCTGTAGATGGTAGTCATGAGCATCGGATATTGCAATCAATAATTTGGATGGAGGACATAAAGGACGGTTCCTTACAGGTGAATTTTACCGGTTAAATTATCAGGTTTTCTTTTGCTTAGCATTTTTATATTTTGTTTTAAATCTTTTCATCTCCATCATGTGACAGAGTTTTATACAAAAGCTTTCAAAAGCTGGTGAGAAGCATGTCCCGGCGGAGTTAGCTTTGTGCATAGCTAAAGATGTTGCATGTGCACTAGTGGAGTTGCATTCAAAGCACATAATTCATCGTGACATAAAAAGTGAAAATATTTTGGTTGATTTGGATAAGAAGAGAGCTGATGGAACATCTGTTGTGAAGCTCTGTGATTTTGATAGAGCAGTTCCTCTTCGGTCTTACTTGCATACATGCTGTATCGCCCATATAGGAACACATCAAGCGGATGTTTGTGTTGGAACACCTCGATGGATGGCCCCAGAGGTTTTGCGAGCAATGCATAAACGAAATATTTATGGACTGGTACGTCTTTTACATGCCAAGGATTTTTGTGCTTAAATTAATGAAAAATACTTGGTCTGCTTACAAGATACACTATATTTTGGTTTTCAAATTGACTTTTGTTGCACAAGTGATAAAGTCCATGAATTGCCATTTCAGATATATAGCATTTTCCGCATGTGAAGAATGCTACCACATTACCTTGTACACCATAACTCAATTTTAAATTTAGGAAAACCACAAATTGCACTGCTAGAAATCTATCTACCTAAAACATACATGTGTGTTGAATTTCTAGATGGTTCCAAGTGTTCCAACCTCAATATTGTCGCTTTCTTCTATATTAAATCAGTGCAACTTTGCTTTTTTTTTTTGCGTAGTTTAAGTTTTATTCCTTTATTGTTACAGGAAGTTGATATCTGGTCCTTTGGGTGCCTGCTGTTGGAAATGTTGACTTTGCAAATTCCGTATGCGGGAGTATCTGAAATGGAGATTAATGAACTTCTGACGGTACTAATCTTCTCTCTCTCTCTCTCTCTCTCTGTTATGAAGACTTTTGTATGGTTTGTAAGAGAAAGTGAAATATGAAAATATGACTAAATAGAGGGACTGGTTTTGAGGGGTCCATACTTTCAGTAATTGTTGAAACTGAAGTTGGAATCTTTTAGTCAGTGAAGTGAGAAAGGGAATATCTTAATCCTTATATGTTTATTCCATAGCTCCATGAGTTTGTTTGGCATTAGGACCCTAAGGTTGCTGCAGTAGAGCCCTTGTAAGGGGTTTCTAGAGTACTTTTCCTTCGGATGATGGTTGATAAATTGATATACAGCCTTCAATCGTGCATCTAGATTGTGTTAGCTAATTGTTTTAGGTTACATTTGTTTATATTCTAATGAGATTTTAAGGTTGAACATTTCCTTATCTCTGAAGTAATTCTGCTTATTGTTTGTTGCATACAGATGGGAAAACGGCCAAAGTTGACAGAGGAGTTGGAGGCATTTCGGTCATTGGACGAGCCAATAATGACTCAAGCTGGTGCGGAGCTTAACGGAACAGAGGCCGACTTAGACACACTGAGGTTTCTTGTTGACTTGTTCTACCAATGTACCGAGGAGAATCCGCAGAATCGTCCGACAGCTGACAACCTTTACGAATTGTTACTCAAACACAGCAGCTCTCTTCCAAAATCAAGAACTTAGAAATACTAGATTGAACTTTTAGGCAATAATATTCTATAGAGAACTCCAAATTTTGTAGCCCCAATGATGTATTTTCGCTGTGTCAGGTTAGGCAGCTATGTTGTATTATTATGTCTCCTGTAAGGTCTGTAATCTAATTGGAGATTTGTAATTTTTATTGGTGGTAGTTTCTGACGCTTCGTTATCCATGTATTATTTTGAGACTGTAAGTTGGCCAGATAAATCATAAATAGCTCTCCAAATTCTGATTATGCAGATTTGGAATTTGGTTATATACATGTACGCAAAAACTTTTAATTATCAAAATCATAGAATAAGGGTTTAATATTATCTTTGTTGGGTAATTTATTTTAAAGCCCCAGTTTTAAATTATTTTCTGTGTAAAGTCCTGTTATTCGTTTGCCTTAGGTTGAGAAATATTGAAAATATAAAGATATATGGCGTCGAGTATCTTATTTTACCCCTTCAAATAAGCAGATGCCATACCTAGAAAATGAAAAGTAAAATGAATTTTTTTTAGGTTTCTAAATCAAAATTATAGGGGATTGAGGATCTAATTCAATGTGACCAAAAGGATTTGATGGATTTTCTAAAATTAAATTGTAAACTAAACAATAATTAGTTGCCTTCTTATCCCTTATTTTGTTATTACAAAAGTTCCAAATCCACTTTTAATTTTGGAAATGGAAAAGAAAGCAAGATAAAAAGGTGTACTAATGAAAAATAGTTTTTCTTGGCCAAAATTAATAGGTAAACAAATATTTGTATTAATTATCAGAGGAAATAGTTGTGAATGTAAAAAATAATTTTATTTGCGGGTGTTTTTAGTAAACAAATATTTTGTATCAATTATGTGGTGGAAGCAATGTTCGAAAATAGGTCTAGCGCCTAGAGGAGTAATCGGAACCTAGGTGTTTCTTTCTTTCTTTTATAATTATTTCCAAACTTATGCAAAATAAAAGGATATATACATTATACAGCACCATAATTGATATAAAACATGGAGAAAAAATTAAGCATACAAAGAAAAATACTTGAAATGAAAGGCTAGGCCTCCAAGCCTAAGTTTCCTTTAAATCCAGGGAAAAAAAAATTATATATAAATAATAATAATAATAAAAAGACCCAAACCGGCCTAGTCCTTTTTATTTTTTTTTTTTTTTTTTTTTTTTTTTTTTTAAAATTAGCGATAACGAACAATTCGATAGTAACTCCGTTCTCTTTTTATCTTAATCCAACCCCTGAAAATCCACGAAACTTCCGCCGATATAGCACTTCGATTTTTCTCCTTCCCGTTCCACTCACAGTTGATAAACTCAAAGAGCTTCTCAGGCGAAGCAATGGCGGTACCTCTCTTCAACCTCGCCCCCAATCTTACCGACTCTGAGTCTGATTCTTTGGTCCTCCCTCTCATCCTCAAATATAAATTCATTCTTCGCTGGGACGATGACTTTCGGCGAGCAAAACACATTTCCGGCCTCGACCAAGCCTTTCAGGCCGGCATCTCTGCAGAAATGTATCCAGTGGTTCAGCGAGCCCAGACTCAGGGGAGGAGCGAGGAGCGTCGTTTTGGCCACCAACCAAGGTTGTAAAGTAGCTCTGAGAGTATCAGTTCATGCTAATAATGGTGTGCCAGCTTGCTTTTCACTTCTCATGTGTGAAAATTTGTTCTGATATTACAGGTTACGGGACCGTCTGGGCAGATGACTTGGATACGAGATGGCCCCAAGTGTTTGAATGCTAAGAATATCACCGAGGCCATTGACGGCAGGTTTGCTCAAGCAAATAGTTTGTAATTTTGCTTCTGTTTAAACGCTTCGTGTTATGCTGTGCTGAGTGATGAGTTATGTAATGCTTAAATGCAGCTTAAGGCGATTGCAGACACATTACATTGATCTTTATCAGATTCATTGGCCTGATCCTTCCTTTTAGTGTTTTGGGATTTTGCTTTCACATTACTCTAAATTTGCAGATTGACATGAATTTGACAATGGGTGTATGCTTGATGTAAATTTAAATTTCATTGCTTTCACATTATTTTTTCCCCAACTATATATGTTTACAACTCCATAATTTGCTTGCCTTCACCCAGGCTTGTCTTGCTTTTCTCACTATGTGCCCACACAAACACAATCCCTGTTAGTAAGACTTGAACTGATTAATGACTGTTTTTGTAGCTATGTTCCCATGTTTGGAGAAATTGAGTATGATCCAACCCGACAGTTCTGTTCGATTCCTATAGACGAACAACTTGATGCTCTTGGAAGAGCTGTTTATTCTGGTAAGGTTAGTTTCATACTGTTGCCTTTCTTCCCCTTTCTTTGATAAGTCATTTAGTTTGGTGACTTTTTCCTTTATTTTGCAATGTTTTAAGAGCATAAAATTCCCATGTGAATTGAAAGGAAATTTTTGTTTTGTAGATTAAATATGTTGGTCTCAGTAACGAAACACCATATGGGGTGATGAAGTTTGTTCAGGTAGCTGAAAGGAGCACTCGCCATCCAAAGATTGTCTCTGGGTAGGTTGTCTATTTGATCATTGCACTCTCAGTTAAATGCTTACTGTATTGTTGTTGCTGATTTTTGGACTAATGCAACTTATTGTCTATTTGATAGAACTCATACAGCTTGCTCTGTCAAACTTTTGATTCTGGGTTGGCTGAATGCTGTCATCATGAGAGGTATTAAAGTATTGGTTTTCAGAAAAAGTGAATAGCTGAACAGTTAATTATTTCATCCGGTATGAAATGATAGGGAAAGCTTGCTTGATTTGTGCATGCCAATTTCTTGATGAAGTTGAAGTTATGTTACTTTTCCTATCCTGTCCTGAGCAGTTCTTGAAGAAATTCAATTGAATATTCTTGCTAATTAGTAGCTTGAATAATATAAAATTAGTAAGTGGAATTAAAATTCCAATAGAGAACATGAGTCACTTTTGGGGAGGGCTTCTTATCTCAACATGCATTTTGGGTTTTCATTTTGTATGGCTTTCAAACCTGGGTAAGCCATTGAATAAACCTTATTCATGTGAGTTTCTGAGTCAGTTATTTTGAGTGGTAAAATGATGGATTTAATTATATTATTTATAAATGAGTTGCAGCCACTTCAGGTAATACTAATGATTTTCTGTTGGGCTATTGAATGTTTTAGGATCAGTTTATTAGCCTACAGCCCCCTTGCAATGGGTATACTCTCTGGGAAGTATTTTTTGCCTGATGGGCGTCCTGCAGATGCTCGGTTGAATCTTTTTAGAGGTAAATTTTAAAATTGTTCATCTCATCTTTTGATATGTAGGAACTTTCTGCACTCTTAGGTGGTGATTTTGTTTCAATTGGGCTGTCATGTTTCTCTTTGCAGGGAAATATTCGGAAGGGGAACCCAGATACAACCTGTCTGATCACATCATAAGAGCAGCAGCCATGGTGCGGATATTCTTCTGTTCACTTTGATAGGCCAATTGAAAGATTACTGAATCTAAGGTTTATTAGAACTTTGAATTCAAGTTAGCACAAATGCCTTTTGAAAACTTTGATAAAAATCTGGCCTCTGGGTGAGAAAATGATAGTCATACCTTTTCACTGGTTTTGTTTCAATGTCATGTTTACGTCTTATTGGTATGATGCCCAGTGGTTATTAATATTTTTTTTAAAGGCAATATAAACTTTTGATTAAGTGTATGCATGCACGCTTGGGTTGGAAGTGTGGGTATATATACAAGCATGTGTTTCTGCATCTGTGCCATAGCAGTTCATGAATGTCTGCAGTACTACTTGTTCTAAAAGGAAAATTATTTTGAATATTATCTCTAGTTCCAGCATTTGATCTCTTTACTGCATGTTGTATTTATCGAATACTGATTTACTAATCTGCTTTTATTTCCATTCACGGGAATACATTGATATTGCAGGGAATTACAGTGTTCATCCAGTATCTCTTGCAATAGGTTCGACACCTCTCCCTCCAATTCTTTATAGTTTCTTCGTGTTCTTGTCCACGTTAGGACTGTGGTTTGGAGACTTAATGTTAGAAAATGAAAAGTCACCCGTTTGCTTGTTCCTCTTTCCCTTTTTCTCAAAACGTACATTTATTTTTCTTAATAATGTTAGATTTATAAGTCTTGAGTGCTAACTAAGCAAAATTACATGAATAAAATTGCTAAAATTGAAATGACGGGACGGAAACAGAAAATGTACCAAACCACAAAACGCAAAATGTAAAGTTGGGATACATTTTATGTGAAAAGTTCCAGTCTAGCAAGTTTAGCTAAAAACAAAAGGAAACTAGTTTAAAAAGAGCAACAAGAAGAATCGAATTGTTCCAAGGTATATTCAGCTGGCTGTGCGTAACGACGAGGAGTTGAGCAAGCTTTTGGGGACTGTTACTATTGCTAATGGCGGTGTTTTGTCAAACATTTATTAGACTGTTGCCGAAGAAGATTGGTAAAGGGAAAGGAGACATTGGATCTGCCTCTTAAGAATTTCAGAGTTGCTTGTTAAAATTTGGGGACGATTTGTTGTAAACACAAACTTTGGGAATTTTGGCTGAATGCAGAATTGTAATAATAATTTTGGTTTAGTAATTATCTCTTCGCAGAGTGAGATTGACTGGCGTTTTGTATGAGATTTGTGGTACTTATTTCCACATGCATACAAGCATTTTCAATCTGCTACCCATTTTCAAGTTAATTAAATTAAAAGTTTAGCTCCAAAGCCAATAGGATCATTTGCGAAATACTATATTCAAGATATAAAAAAGATCTCTTGTGTCGTTAACTATCATACTGCATTATACTTGGGCCTACTTTGTTGGTTTTGGGCTTCAGGCTATGTCTTGGGTTTCAACCCGAAAAGGACAAATACAACAGTGCAAATTAATGGACTCAATCTCATCAACCAGGGTTTAGTCCAGTGAAGAGGGTCTTGATTTGTAGACCAGTTGTCTCAAGTTCTATTTTTTATGGCATCTTAGCAGTGTGTATAAGAAAACCCACCTCCCTTTCTTGACTTTGACAACCCAAAAAAAAGGAGAATCCCATCACAGCCACAGAATAAATGCATATATAGAAGATTAAACCACAACAGGGTTGAAACTATTGAGTCACTACTTTTTCCTAACGAGTAAAACATTTTATATAAAAGATAATTATTGTTAAATTGAATATATATTCACATAATTCAAGAGGTCAACTGATAGCCGGAAGAAGCAGAATTTTCTATTTTTTTTCCAAGGCACACTGTTAATACACATGGTGTGGGAAAGTTAATCAATTTCATATTGCCCTTTGGCAAAGATTAAAAAAAACAATATATGTATGTATATATTTACCCAAAATAAAAAAAGGCTAGTTATTGCCTGCCTGTTCCTAGAATAGTTACCAACAACCGCCCCCTTCATGAAAAACAGTGGGAGTAACATGGGCTATTCCTAATTGATCTCTAAAAGGCAAAAGTTAAAAAAATATAAATAAAAAGCCACCGTTCCACTTGTCTTGTGTTTTGACTTGGTGTGCCACATGCATGCAGCAAGTGCAGTAATAATTAAACATCTTCTCCCAAAAGAAAAAAGTGCCAGTGAGCATGGGGGGAGACAGATCATAATAAAAGCTTATACAAACTACAGACATTAAAAAATTAGGATTAGCAAATATGGGTTAGATAAGTTGACTAAGAAAGTGTGTTTGACCATTAGTTGATCAAGATAGTGTGTCTGTTTATTGAACTCGAGTTCCAACCTAATTTTTCAGTCTATATTACCCTTTGGCCCTCAGCCTTTTGGAACAGTAGCAATTATATTAGTTCAAAATGTTTAATGGGCTGGGGCTGGTGCTGATGCTGACGCGGTGTTCTGCTTTATCCATCAACTGCACTGTTGTAGTTGCCTTTTGGATAAACATAAACCACTCTAAATTATAATTCTGAATTCTAAAATAAGGTGACAGCGAGACGGCAATTAGTAAATGTAATTGCCCTTCCTTCTCCCTCCTTGCCGCCAGTCTCACAGCTCACTGGGCAGGCACCAGCAGCAGGCATATCTACTACCAGAGCAGAGCTAGCAACAGGACAGGACCTGGACCACCCTAGTCTCTAGTCTTTAGTCTCTCCAGCCAACTCTGCCTGTCATTCTACAAAAGAGGGACCAGATTTCTTAATAACCTAGCCCTTTATAGCCCTTAACTCTTAGGGAACACACCCCAAAGGAAATTATAAAATCCATCTCTCTCTCTCTCTCTCTCTCTCTCAAGTTCAAGTTTAGTACTGCATATATCAGTGGTAGTACGAGGGCATGTGATTAGTGATGAGCAACCAAAACCCTTATGATCCATCATCTCTAAGCCACGTTTTGATTTAAAGTACCTATTTTCATCAGGAACACTTATATAGATATATATGTTCATTGTACACAAACCAATGTCAACCACATTGCATGCAATTTAAGGTAATGGAAAATTGAAAGGTTGCCTTTATGTTTTTTTACCTGAATTCGTGGGTTTTGTTACTTTGTACATATTACTTTTACTGTTTTTGTTCTCTTTTACTTGTTTTTTTCTTCCACTTGGGGGGAGTGTAATTGCAGTACACTGGTGTACAAGCTAGTGAAAGTGAAAAATTTGAGCTCCATTTTGGTCAGCAGTTGGAGTAATATTGGACCACCATATTAGCAATGGCATATAAAGTTTCAAGTTTCCCATTAAGGGCAGAATTCATATTTCTAGTATTTTACCACATTCTCAGAGCAACCTCATCAAATGGGTAGGTAGGAGTTGCTTATAGGCTTAGGCTAAATTACTCCCACCACCTGCCTCTACACATTGTAAAATCAATTCAACTAAGCTTATGGCCCCGCACCATAATATAGCAGCAGATTCAGAAGGGGGGGGAGGGTGGAGAGGCTTATGTTAATGATTCAATGTTTGGGCTTTAGATCACACATCATTACACCAACAAACAATTCGCAAAGTTTATATATATATTAATGTCAAGTAAATATATTTATAAAGTAGTGTGTCCGCCCCTTTGTATATAAGTTTAATATCTCTCTCCCCATACATTAGAGTAGTTTAGAATATCGTATTGTCAAATAATATCTGACTGCAAGAATTAAAACCCTAAAATTAGATAAGAATTGATTGCATTCTTTAATTTCGCGCAGACCAAATAACTAGGCATACCATAATTTTTGTAGCCTGGATCTGGCTAGGGATGTCAGTCATGTACAAAGGGCATATGCATCATGCTACAATCTTGCTAACATCATCACCCCAGAAACATTCCACATTATGACGAAATCTAAGAAAATCAACAGTGAAACTTTTAACAGTGGTAACCAACCATCGAGTGGGTAAGTGTAAATTATTGCATTCGTATATATACCTGCCATCAGCAGTAAAATTCCAATCATGTAAATCAAGGTTCTTTGTTTTTTTTCTTTTTGGAGTGAAAAATTAATGTAGCATATTCCAAGCAGAAATATATAATGGAAGTGCCCACCATGGCCTTTTAAAAACAATTTTGAACGTTGTTAATTAAACTGGCTCGATCCGCAAATCTGGTGGTAGTCCATATACTGATTGATCATTGCCTAATTGATTCTTGCTAATTTAACTATATTAACTAGATTTCATTCTACTAATCAACTAGCACTTTCGTCTAGTGATATTTCTCCTTGTAAGATTTGGATACACAAGACAAGGAGTGTTGAATATTTTAACGTTGGGCTATTTTTTATCAATATAAGGAGACAATATTACATGTACAATATCAACAGTCTTGACTTCATATCAAAATGATATCGCTATAATGGGTTTATTTGAGAACCATTCTAAAGTCAAAGTATTATTTGAGGGTTTTAATGCAGCTTTTGTCCACTTTAGTTTTGGTTTTAGCATGGTAGTTTGTTGCACTCTTGGGATTGATACTTTTTTATTTAGTAATGCTACTCTCACCACATTTGTATACCACATTATGTGGCAGATGATGTGTACATCCACATCAATTAAAACTAATTTAACATTTTCTTTTATTTTATAATTTATTGACACTTTTTAATTGATTTGGTTGTACACCTCATCTGCCACATAAGGTGGTATGAGAATGTGGTAAGAATAACATTTTTTTTTCTTTTCTTTTTTTGAGAAATTGAAATTATGGGATTGCATTCATAATTCAACCAAAAGAGCCACTAGCTATAAATGGCCAAAACAAACTAGTCATAAAGAGCCAATACAAAATAGCCACAAAGGGTCATTACAATAACGGAGCAATCTAACATCAAAATTAAGACAATATGGTGCGCCTACACAAACGATCACGCAGGATCGAAGAAACTCTGGCATAGGCATCCTAATTAAGATTGTAAACTTAGAACAATCAAATAAAGATAAAGCTTGAAAAAACCTAAGACATAACAATACAAATAAAACTATCACAAAAGAGAGGTGGAAAACTCTCAC